ATGGCAGCTCACAATTGTCTATAACTCCAGTTCCAAGGGATCCCACAGACAGACATACATGCAGGCAAAACACCAATGCACATAAAATAAAATTAAATAAGTTATAAAAAAAAAATAAAATAGCCAGGCAGTGGTGGCGCAAACCTTTAATCCCAGCACTCGGGAGGCAGAGGCAGGCAGACAGACCTCTGTGAGTTAAGAGGCCAGCCTGGTCTACAGAGTGAGTTCCAGGACAGCCAGGACTGCTACACAGAGAAATCCTGTCTCCAAAAACCAAAAAACAAAAACTAAAATAAGATGAACAAGTGCTATAAATGTTCGCTAGACTCTTCCAGTGGCTTCCCAGATAAAAGGCCAGGGAATTACAGCTGTCCAGAAGACCCCAAACAACCTGGCCTCTGCATAACTGGCCAAGCAGCTCATTCGGCTCTCGCCACTAGCTTCCCTGAGGTTCCTCAAACACGCTGCGTGTCACAGTCCGGTCTTTGCAGCTGCTCTTCCCTAGCCTGACCCGTGTTCTTTGCCCAGAGGCCTCTGCAGCTCACTTCTTCTTTATTCAAATCCACCTATGCCTCGGGCTTTCCCTGACCTACATAAAATGCACCCCTCACTCTCCCTCATTTCTTCACAGTGAGTATCTCCATGAACAAGTACATTCCTTTCTTGTTTGCTTGCTTGTTTGAGACAGGGCCTCATGTAGCCCAGGCTGGCCTCAAGCTCTTAACTGTCCTCCTTACACCCGCAAGTGATAGGACTGCTGGCCTGTATATACTCTACCTTAAAAAAATTATTGGGAGCCGGGGTGGGGTGGAGTGGGGTGGGGTGGGGTGGTGCACGCCTTGAATCACAGTTCTCCCGAGGCAGAGGCAGGCAGATCTCTGTGAGTTCAAGGACAGCCTGGTCTATAGAGTGAGGAGTAAGTTCCAAACAGTCAAGGATAAACAGAGAAACCCTGTCTTGAAAAACAAAACTGAAGAGATGAGTCAGCAGTTAAGAACACCCGTTGCTCTCCTTGAAGCCCTAGGTTTATTTCTCAGCATCCATGGAGTGGCTCATAACCATCTATAACTCCAGTTCTAGGAAATCCGATGTCCTTTTCTGACCTCTGAGAGCATCAGGCACATATGTGGTGCACATACAGAAATATAGGCCTATACACAGCAAAATAAATAAGTCAAATATATTTATATGGTTTCTGAAGACTGGACTGGATGCTTTTAAAGGATGGCAGAGTTGGGCCAGGTGTGGTGGTTCAAGACTCCCCCTCCCCAGACAGGGTTTCTCTGTGTAGTTTTGGTGCCTGTCCTGGATCTCCCTCTGTAGACCAGGCTGGCCTCGAACTCACAGAGATCCACCTGCCTCTGCCTCCCGAGTGCTGGGATTAAAGATGTGAGCCACCACTGCCTGGCTAAAGATAAAAAATTTTAAATATTATATTTATTTACTCATTTTATGTGTGTATGAGTGTATATATGACCTAAGTTAGGTGCCAATTTGCACACATGTATGCATAGCACAGTGTGCATGTGGAGGCCAGAGGACAGCTTGCAGGGTTGGATTTCTTTGTCCACCATGTGCGTCCCAGCAATCAGACTCAGGTTGTCAGGCTTGGTGGCAGATGCCTTTACCTAATGAGCTGGGTTATTGTTTGTTTGTTTGTTAGTTTTTTAACAACAACAATATATATATATTTTCTCTATATAAATAACTATATATATATATATATATATATATTTTTTTTTCTCCACAATACAGGGTTTCTCTGTGTAGCCCTAGCTGTCTTGGAACTCACTCTGTAGACCAGGCTGGCCTCAAACTCAGAGATCCACCTGCCTCTGCCTCCCAAGCACTGGGATTAGAGGCATGCGCCACACTAGTGAGGTCCCAGGATCTACCCATTTCTATTCCTTAACACTCAGGTTATAGGCACACATGGCTGGTGTTTACATGCATGCTGGGGACTTGAACTTTGGTCCTCATGCTTTCACAGCAACTGCTCTGACCCACTGAGCCATCTTCTCAGCCTGCTTTATAGTTCTTACGCCCTAAGACTTCTCACGAGACTGAGGTGGGTGTGAGTGGAGTGGGCCAAACCACAAAAAACAGGGACTGTCCTTGACCTTCTGGCTTCAAAAAGACTACTACCCTAGTTACAACCCCCTCAAAGTTTCCTTCACCCCATGTTGCTCAGTTATAATCACCCTGGGAATATTCACTAGCAGTTGGGGCCCTTCCCCATTCTGTCTGCCCTTAACTCTCCCAGACATAAAAAAAAATATATCGTTGATTTAAATATTTGTGTGTGTGCGGGGCATGGTGGTACACTGAAGTCCAGTGCTCAGGAAGTCGAGGCAGGTGGATCTCTCTGAGTTTGAGATCAACCTGACCTACACTGGGGGTTGGAGACATGTCAAAACGATATGGAGAAAATGTCTCACAACAGCTCCCCTCCAAAAAAAAAAAATACTAAATATTTATGTGTGCGCATGCACACATGCCATGATGCCCATGTCGGGTTAGAGGACTATGAGGTTGTCAGTTTTCTCCTACCATGTGGGTTTGGGGTGCTCTAATTCAGGTCACCAGGCTTGGCAGCAAGTACAGAAACCTCTCACTAGCCTCTCCCAGATTTCCTGAGTCAGCAAAGGACTGGCTCAGGTCCACTGTGCTCCCCCCCGCCCCGGGGGGGGGGGTGCCCCTCCCAGACCACATCCTGACCTGCCTCTGCAGGCTGGGAACCCATCACTTTGCTTCATTCTGCTCAGCAAATCACACCCTCACCCCAGCCCAGCCTCCCACTCCCTCCCTCTCAGTGCCTGCAGCTGCCTCAGTGCCTGGCAGGCTGGGCAGTCACTTCCAGCTTGCATTCCCTTGTGGTTGGGCCAGTTTGGCAAATGTCTTGTCAGCCCCACAGTGCTGGAGCAGCAGCTCCCACTGAAAGGCCGAGGAGGCGGAATAGAAAGATGCCCACAGTAACCAGGTCTTCCTAGAGGAGACATCAAGAGCATGCTGAGCTCTCTCCTAAGTCTTTAAGAATGAGGTTTCTGCTCTAGAGACTGGGTCTCCAGAAAGTCTCTGTCTTTCTAGACACCCTTGGCCTGGTACTGTCTGTCTCCCAGAGACATTGACACGGGACCTTCCCGCTCTGTGCTTTGTGGCAAGACTTTCAGTGACTGACTCCTGGGCCTTCTAGGTCAGTTAGGTGAGGAGGGTGAGTTAAGAGGAAAGGCATGGCCTGGAATCCCCTGAGCCTATCAATCGGGCCTCAGACACCATCCACTTGTTCTCTTGTCCTGGGTACCAGAGGGACCAAGGGCCCAGGCATGACCTACTCCATTGCTCAGGGGCCAGCCATTCCCAGAATTCAAGAAGAGGTCACAGGGAAAGATGGACATTGACTTTCTTCCTGGGAAGGTCTCCAGATAGCTAAGAGTCATAGGAAAAGAGGAACGGGGCTTAACACCCACTCCCTCTGCCTTGTGAAGACTCAGGACTGTCACTAGTCCTGGTGGAGTCCCCTGAGTGCCACCAGCCCATTCTGAAGATCAGGAGAAAGGCCCTGCCATTTTTCTTGTTTGTTTTTTGTTTTTTTCGAGACAGTGTTTCTCTGTGTAGCCCAGGCTGTCCTGGAACCAGGCTGGTCTCACAAAGATCCGCCTGCCTCTGCCTCCCCAGTGCTGGGACTAAAGGCGTAGGTCACCACTGCCTGGCTGGCCCTGCCATTTCCTAGGACAGAACAGTAGGCCTAGCACAAAGGGGAAGAATGTGGAAGGCCTCAGGTGGTCCCAAGGGTTCCCAGAATCCTGTGTGGATGCTGACGCTGCCACGCCTAGGCTGCTCTCTCCTTCTCCAGCACTGGACTCTATTGATATGGGGCCCTCAAAAGGCAGATGCCATCAGGCAGCCCTGGGGGAGAATGGCATACCACCCTGCCTCTTTACCTGGTTAGAAGGGTGAGCTGGCCTGTGTCATCTGGTTTGGAGATTTTCCACATCTGAGTGCAGCCCCAGGCCGTTGAAGAGGAGGTGGAATTTAGATCCCTGGTAGAGAGTGACTAGCTGTTAGGAGAAGACTCCAGAACCGGAGGTAAGGAAGGCCTGCTCTTCTCAGCTTTGGACACCTCTGGAACCAAGGGAAAAGTGTACTGATAAAGTGGGAAGCCTAGGAATAAAGAGACAGACGTGTGATTGGGCACCACCCCTGAATTCCAGCACTCGGGAGGCTGAGGCAGTTTGGGCTATACAGTGAGACCCTCTCTCAAACAATAAACAGCAGCAGCAGCAGCAGCAGCAAGAAAACCCAAAGAGGAATGAAGTAGCGAAACAGCAGAGAGAAGGTCCCACCCACCCACTGCCACAGACTAGGTTCCAGCCCCAACCCCCTTGACCTTAAGGGAAACAAGAGCTACAAAGGGAGGCTGTGTGTGTGTGTGTGTGTGTGTGTGTGTGTGTGTGTGTGTGTGTGTGAATCTTAGCACCCCTTGGCACCCATGGACTTCCAGCATCACCCCTCGGGCTCATTCCACTTCTTTTTTTTTTTTTTTTTTTTTTTTTGGTTTTTTCGAGACAGGGTTTCTGTGTAGCTTTGTGCCTTTCCTGGATCTCACTTGGTAGCCCAGGCTCATTCCACTTCTAAGTGGTTGCCAGGGTGCCAATCTCGCTCCTTTACTTCAGGCATCCAGAAAGAAGCGAATGGGGGCTAGAGACAGAACTCAGTGGTGGAGCATTTGCTTAGCATGCAGCAAGGCCATGGGTTTAAATCCTGATGTCATCCATATGTCATCACACACACACACACACACACACACACACACACACACACACACACACACAAAACCTGCAAGCCATACCCATCTCATACTACACATACACAAACACACACACAACTACACACACCAGCAAGTCATTCACATCTCACACTACACACACACACACACACACACACACACACACACACACACACACACACTCTAGTATGCCAGGAAGAAGCACACAAGCAGACACTTCTGCAGATATGTTTAATGCACTTAGATCACACAGAGGAAGAGGGGCAAGTGGGAACAAAATCTAAGTGAGTCACTCAAAATTTCTTACAAAAGTCCTGAGCCAGCTGTAGCCCCAGGAACTGAGTCGCCACTGACATTAAAAACTAATATAAAAATGTACAAAAGTCTGCTCATCGCAGCATTCAGATCTCTGTACAAAAGAAGGGGTCTCCCTATGGGGCTCCTGACTTGTAACAGGGACCCAGACACCTCACCTGGCACCGAGATCCTGGAAGCCAGAAAGGGAAGACAGTTAAAAAAATACAGTTCAGGGAGTAATCGGCTGGTCCACCCCATAGGGGCACAAACTTCAGGCCCTCTCCCTGCTCTCAACTCAATCTCAAAACTCAGTCCCAGCACCTAGGGTCTGGACTGCAGATGTCCTGGCCCCTTTGGGCTCCCAAGGCCCCCACAGGCCCTGTTGCAGCATGTCACACTTGGAAGAGGAGAACACTGTTCCCCAGCATGGCAGCCCGCATTGCGACCCTCTACGGCCCACGGAGGCCCAGGCGAGCTCTAGTTAACAGGAGGACAGAGGTCCTTCCTTTCGGAAGCTCTGGTCCCGAGGACCTGGAAGGTCAAAGGATGGGGACAGCCTGGAGGAAGTCTGCAGAAGACCAGGGGGAGGGGGGTACACTCCTGAACCCCTCCGCAGGATGGGCTAACAGCCCCACAGGGCTGCAGGGAGGGAAAGAAAGGGCCCCCCGCACAGAGCACCCATCATGTGCCATGATAAGGTAGGTCTTGCTCCATTGATGTTAGGGGCCCTTCTTCCCAGGCAGCAGCCCAATGGGCGATCCTGTTCCCTGAGATCCCTCTGGAAGAAACCAGAGCCCAAGGGAAAGGAGGTCTGGTCACACCAGGCTGAGAGCCACTGCACTAAGGAATGCTGGGTCCTGGTCCCAGCAGGATTCTAGACATTCCTGAGGTTCCTGACAGGATCGAGGCAGGAGAGACCTCAGGCCCTGTTGACATCTCTTTGGAGTTTACCTGCCATTTCCCTGCTCTCCAAGAATAGGGCCACCAAGCAGGTGGTGGCAACCATCAGTCTGCAAAGACCTTGTAGGCCTAGGGCAGCAGTTGACCAGGAGTCACACATACTAAGGACAAAAGGCAGCTCATAGCTCACATTCTCGCCCCCAAGCCAGGCAAATGGAGGTAGGGCAGAATGCAGCAGGGGCCCTTAGGCAGGTCTCCAGGGAGAATGGGGGAGGGGAATTACTACCACACTGGTCAAGATGACAAGGAATGGAGGTAAACTGAGAGCATCTCTTGGCCCAAACTTTCAGAAGACAAGAGCTTTAAAAAGGCAGTGTTGGCAGTGTCCCTTGTGGAAACGTCTCAGGCAGCATGGTGTCTGCTCCAGAGAGGCTGGTATCCTGGCTGCTGGGGGCCTGCAGCCAGCCTCTCAGAGTGCTGGCCTTGGAGTTAACTGCTTCGATTTGGGATATGCAGAAGGAGCCAAATTGAGTTATTTCTTAAAAAGCTAACCTTTGTTCCCTCGAGCCCCCAGCCAGGTTCCTTGAGGGCCCTGCAGGCAGCTCTTTGGCCTCCTGTGGTACCCTGGCGGTACCCATCGTAGGTGGTGGAGGCAGAGTGGTGGAGCTCTTGCAAGTCCCTGACAGACAAAATACCTTTCCTTTGGAGAGATATGAACTTACAGAATGAAGAAAGAACATCAGACCTAGAGAGGAAGGCAGGAGTGCAGCAAAGGGGCGTGCCAATTCCAGGTCGGAAGTGGGAGATACCTCAAAAGCAGCCCTCCAATGTGGCCAGAGACAGGCTGGCTCCTGGAAGGCATGCAGATCTACAGTTCTGGGGATAAGAGAAGGAGCCCACAGCCGGGCGGTGGTGGCGCACGCCTTTAATCCCAACACTCAGGAGGCAGAGCCAGGCGGATCTCTGTGAGTTCGAGGCCAGCCTGGTCTACAGAGCGAGTCCCAGGACAGACTCCAAAGCTACACAGAGAAACCCTGTCTCGAAAAAGAAAAAAAGAATGAGGCCCACAGAAGGAAAAGGCAAGGATGAAGAGTGAGTAAAGAATGGACGTGGGAAGGATAGAGGGCCACAGAGAGCAGTGTCAGCAGAATTAACATGAAAGGACAGTGAGAGGTTGACTTTTCCGTTTTTAATAAGCTAAAGTCCTTACAGCCCGGGGGGCTGCGAATCCAGGGGAAAGGGGAAATCAAAGAGCTGGAGGCCCTGAGGAGCAGGATGAGGGGGCAGCGGGCTTTACCCTCTCCTTGGCAGGCCTGGTTGGGTAGAAAAGGGCTGGAAGACATAGCTGAGGCCACCATGTCCTCGAGTCCCTTCTGTCCTCAGAGCCTTGTAGAAGCCTAGTTCATCTGGAAGGCAGTGGCACCCTTCTAGGCCACAGCATATCTGGCCCCAAGGCTGTTCCCTATCTCAGGCTCCTCCAGGGCTCAGAGCTGACAGACAGCACCAGGCACCTTCTTGGGCAGAGGGTGTGGGGGAGGCAGAGCCCCCAGACCCCTGTCTAAGAGAATGACAAAGTTCATCTAAATAAAGTCCTGTTTAAAAATCCACTATAGACATGGCTTCTGGACCATCTTTGCTGAGCAATAAAAAGACCATCCGGTTTCCACAACAAACTAAGGAAGGAAAAACAATCGTGACAGGAGCAATCGTTCCACGGGCTGGAGCAGCCTGACCGACCGCGCAAAGGCCCGCTGGGGTTGAGCTGGGCAGTGCATCCGCGTGTGTGCTGGGCACACCTGGCGGTATGGCAAGGCTGTCTCTTCCTCGGAGCACATCAGTTGAGCCTGTGGCGGCAGCAGGTGGGTGGGGAGGTTCGCAGGTGCAGCCCCACTCACTCACTGGCATGCAGGACAGAGGCCCAGTCACGTGGGCTTGGCAGCTGGGAGTAAGGCCCCTGAGCTGGAGGTGAGGTGGGGCCTGTGGCGGGTGCAGCATTCTGCGGGCCTCCTCACACTTGTCCTTTTATTCGGAGGCGTCTCCTTTACACAGCTGTCACACTGAAGTCACTGGGAGCCGCTGAGCCCCTCTTGGCCCCTGCAGGGCCAGGCCCAGGCTAGTGCAACGGACTGTCGAACACCACGTCGGGGAGGATGGAGACTTTGAGCTTCTTTTCGGGCCAGCTGTACTCTTTGGGCAGTTTAAACTGTGGAGGGAGCAAGCACAGAGCCTGAATGCTCTGGTTAGCAGACTCCATTGCCTCCTAAGACAGTGGTACCCAGAGAGAGGCAGGACACCGCCCAGACCTGTCCCTAGGATGCTGGGGACAAGACAGGCTACTGGAGACCTCCAATGCTAGACCCAGGTGTGTGTGTGTGTGTGTGTGTGTGTGTGTGTACATGAACGTGAGTGCATTCGGCTGGTCCGGGTGCCCCTTTCTTCCCACACTGCCAGTAGCCCATCAGACTGGAGGAGGCGTGTTTTTCTAGTTCTTCGACCTCCCTCCTGCTCTTTTCCTTGGTTCTGCCTCCAGCCACAAGCATGTGAGGAATCTGCTCCCTGAGGCCCTGGGGCTGGAGGATAGGGACCCAGCAGGGAGCAGATATTACAAGAAGATGCCTGTCCTTGTCACGGGCTCTCTCTGAGGTTAGTGTGGGGAGGATTCTAGAACCTGTCCTCCACAGCTCTGTCAAAGAGTCAACAAGGACGGAGTCTGTAGTCGGCCCCAAATGTGACCCTGCTGGGACTTAACCTGTAGTAGGAAGAAGGTGGTTTGTGTACATTCTCGGAAGGAGAAATCCTTCGCTCTCCACCGCCCTCTTCCCCCTGCTTCGCAGGGTGCTTTGCTCAGTGATCCCACATGACAGCCGAGGTCTTCCAAATCAGAAATCTATGACAGCTTGGCAGTTAATTTCTTCACTTACCTGGGGCCTTCTGTTTGGGAGAGGGGAGAAACTAACTTCTTATTCCTTTTGGGCTCTAGAACCTTCATGTAGCTTAGCACACAGCTGGAGCTCAATACATTCTCACTGACTTGGGTTAGTGCAGGGGCCCTCATAACTCCCACTGCCTCAGGGCTAGGCTGCAACTCAGGGCCAGGGAGAGGAGGGCAGAATCATGTCCCAGCCTGCCTGGGGCTGGGCTGAGGGTAGACAAACGGACACTTCCTGGTGGCTCCCTCTGCCCTCCCTCTCATGGAGGACTGGAGACCCAGGACAAAGTGGAGACTGGGCAGGGTATGGGGACAGCCTATGGGCAGGAGGGCGGGAAGAGAAGAAGTCATTTTTAGTGACCTACTTTCCAAAGCTCCCCTCGGCTCCTGTCTCTCTTGCCTGGACTCCCCTCCCGCCAACAACGCACCCAAGCTCAAAGCAGCAGCTTGGCATAATGCCACTGCAGTGTGACAAGGCCTCTCCGGAAGCCCTTCTGGGCAGCTAGCTGGCTTTGGCCTGACTGAATGGGGGAGCTAGGCCTTTGAGGAAGTGACTTGTGGGGGGACTGGTTGCCACAGAGTGGATGCTTGATAACCTTGGAATATGTACATGAATTAATTGATCAAGCTGGATCCCTGCAGTGGGGGAGGAAGACATGGTTCCAGTCGGGTGACCAGCTCTGAGGAGTCCTATCTACCCTGAGTCTGAGGCCTGTGTGGCCCTGGGAGAGCGGCCCCTGGGAGGTAAGAGAGCTCTCTTTGCCTCAAGCACATTAGGACAAAGGGAGGGAACGGTCGGGCTCTGCCACAGGCAGCTGGGGGAGGGCCAGAAGGTCCTCCAGAGGCCTGGGAAGCTTGCTAATGTTCCACTACCCCATGGAGCACTGGGGCCAGGAAGGCTTGCCTGTCTGCTGCCTGGGTGCTGCTTAGTAGGAGGCAGGAGGAGGAGAGGGGACTTTCCAGGATGAGGTAAGTCCCCTCAAACCAGGAGGCCAGAATAAGGAAGAAAAACAAAAGGGATTATGGGCTCCATTCCTGTACCCCGGAAAAAGAGCCAAGGGGCGGCATAACCCCACCTGGCCTTCCAGTCCCTCAGGCTCTGAGCTAGCCAAGAGGAGGCAAGCTACAGCTGGAGAAGGAAGGGAGTGTGGCTCTTGGGTGGCCCAAGGCAAGAGCAGGAGTCCCCTCTGCCCGCTAGAAGTCCCCAGTGGAATGTTCTCTGGCAGCAGACAGGGGCTTTCTGTTCAGAACCTGCCAGGGAACAGCAGGGGCTGGGGAGAACTCTAGCCTGAAGGCCCTGGCTGCTTCTTCAATGAGGTTCTCAAAAGCTGGCAATTCGGACAGTTTGCTGGGTGTCCTCACCAGGGTGGGGGCGGGCAGGGGTGGGCTACTGTCCTCACCAGGGTGGGGGTGGGCAGGGGTGGGTTACTGTCCTCACCAGGGTGGGGGAGGGCAGGGGTGGGTTACTGTCCTCACCAGGGTGGGGGCAGGCAGGGGTGGGTTACTGTCCTCACCAGGGTGGGGGCGGGGCAGGGGTGGGTTACTGTCCTCACCAGGGTGGGGGCGGGGCAGGGGTGGGTTACGGAAACAGAAGAAAAATCAAGTCATTTAACCTTCTCAGGAGCCGCTCTCCATATGATCCCTGTCCTTCAGAAAACAGCCCACAGAAGTGTGAGCACGTGCATAGGCACACACCACACACAGGTACACACACATGCACACAGGTCCATGTTCTGGAGCCCAGGACCCCTCTCTGAGTGAGAAACCAAATAGGCTTACTTCCTCTGGAGAAGTCAGATCTTCCAAGTCTTCCAACATTTTCTCTACAAACTCTTCCGTCAACAGAATCTGGGAAAGAAGGCAAAAGGCAGGTTGTCATTTGAAAAAACACACAGCCCTTTTGCCAACTGCCAAGCTAGGGATGTTTCTTTAGCTATGGAGGAAGGACGACCCATTGACTGGGTCTAGGAACAGAGGGAAGTACTTGAGGCTTCCGGAAAAAATTGCACACCCTCCCAACCTCCCTCCCGCCCCCACCTGCTTGTAATATTGGCTAGAGAAGGGCGGAGAGGTGGGGTGGGGCAGTGGAGAAAGGCATATCATCTGGAAGGTGGGCAGTGCTGGCCTCAGAAGGGAGCTGGGAGGCAGCGGAAACCCACTTCTTTGGGCTGTTCGGCCCCCTGGACGTTGCAGGGCAACAGAGGGGACAGGAAAGCCGAAGGCCATGGGAGAGCCATGGCCAAGGTCCTTGCCTGATCAGGCTCATATGCTCCCACCCACTTCGCCCAACCATGTAGGACAAAAGGAATCTGTTTGACTTTGGAATCCAAGCCCTGTCTGGGATGTAGATGTGGCCTAGTGGTGGAACACAGCCTAATAATGCGTGCAAAGTCCTGGGTTCCACCTCTACCACTGGGAGGATGGGAGAGCAGGTAAAAACCAGGAAAAAATCTGAGCTGCAGAATGAGAGCCTGCCCGGCTCTTCACAGAGCGGGTGGGACTTAGACCCTCCCTCTGCAGCTACAGGGTCCTGTCTCAGGGATGTCCCTGCAGGCCCCAGTCAGCAGCTACGCTCTTCTAGACTTCTGAGACACTTCTTCTCTGGGTGTCTCTCACGTCCCCACCCTACTGCTTTATTCTGATGCCTGTGACCACAAACTGTGATGTCCAAGACCGTCTAGTGCCACTATTTGCCTGCAATAACCACTATCCTTATGTCCTAAGCAAGTTTTCTCAGCCAATGGGAGCGTCCACAGCTGCTCAGAGCTCTGTCAAGCTGATGGGCCACTTTTTCAACTGATGGCTCCCTCAGGCAGCTCTGCTGGCCCAGGCTGAGCTCCTGCATGCTCTTCTTGCAGATTCTGACCCTTTCTACTCCACCCTCCATGCCCTTGTCCATAGGGTCTCTCCACCTCTGGGGCAGACCCTGCACAGTGCCCAGAGGGAGAAAAGGATGCAAAGGCAAATGAAGGGAAACCTCCCTTTCAGGAGGCTGGGAATCCCAAACTTGAGGAAATACCCATCAAGTTTCCCTTGGGAGCGGATCATCCTGTAAGGGCAGGAGTTTCCGGACTGTGACATAGAGAAGTGGCCAAGGAAGGGAGCAGCAGGGGGCCAAAGAGAGAATGGGAGGCAAGAAGTTGATGCACAGGGTGACAGGTGAGGAGGAAAAGCTCTGGCATTCCAGAACTATGCTGACTGTTCACACCTTATCTCCTTCAGTCTCCTTCCAGATGGGGAAACTGAGGCACTTGCCCTGTGGGGCTAAAGCAAGACCATACGTCATGTCTTGGCCCAAAAACCTGATGCCTTAGACTCTTAGGTGGAGGACACTGACTCAAATATTCATTCTTCTCCGACGAGCAAGCCTATTTCCCACCCAACTAGCAGCTCCCTAGAGAAACAGGACCCGCCCTCCCACAACAGGAGCAAACAGCTCTGACCAGGAATGAGGGAGAGAGACAGAAGGACAGAGGAGGGGGGGGGGAGAGAGAGAGAGAGAGAGAGAGAGAGAGAGAGAGAGAGAGAGAGAGAGAGTGAGAGAGAGAGAGAGCGCACAAACAGTATCCAGGGGAGTGTCCACCCAAGGTACTTATTCCTTTTCCTCCTCCAAGCTCCCCAGAGGAGGTTGGCTGGCTCTTTCCAGTCTGTCTGGCACTTTCTGGTCCTCAGCCACATCCAGTCACACCTGGCCTTCCTTCCTGGAGCCTGCGTCGTCCTCCTCCTCCTCCTCTTATCCCATGGGTCCCCTCCCCCAAGCCAAGTTTCTCCACTGGTTATCACCAGGTCTGCTTGAGTAATACAAAGTCACATTCATATTCTCGGCATTTCCGGGGCTTGTTGCCATCTCTGCAAATGCTAGCACAAACACAAGCACACCTCAAACCCAGTTATGTTACACACACACACACACATATATATATATATATATATATGACTCCAGTCCCGGCCAGGCTGGGTTCATTTCTAACCCACAAATAATCCAGAAGCGTAAACAGGTCTGGAACTGTGGCACTGGGGTAAAATGGGCTGGGGGAGGGCTTCCAAGGACGGTGGCCACCCAGGGAGACTCCCTAGGGTGTTTTTCAACAACAGGAAAGGTGAGGCCACCAACAGTCCAGTGCTAAGCCAGTGCCTCTGTCAAAGGTCTGGAATTGGTGAGTTATGGAGGCTTTCAGCAGAGCTGCCACCGAGTGTGGCACCATCTGTGTGTGGACTTAATTTTGTACTCAGTTGGGGGAGGGGATGACAAGACCCCCAAACGAAGACAAATCCTAGCTGTTTCTTCATTTTCACTTTTGATGATTTGCTGGTTTCTACTGGAAACCACATTGTTTTAAAAGAATTAAAGGGGAAAAATTATACATGAGATCCACATGATATTAAGGGTGACATTCTCAGCAAAGAAACACGACAGACTGTCATAGCTCCAGGCACCTGATTTAATTTCCTTTGGGAGTTAAACCTTAGAAGCTTGGACTGAACAAACATGCCCTGTTCTCCCTATATTTCAGAGCTGGAGCTGAGAATGTTAACAGATCTTATCACAGGACACAGGAGATAGGCAGCTATGATGGAGAGCTCCTGGGAGCTCCCGGAGCTCTGCCTGGGAACAGACTCGCTGCTGTGACGCCACTGTGGGAAAAGCCTGTGCAGGTCTACGACTTGGAGCTCCTGAAGCTCACCTGTCCCCTTGGAGCGACTGGCCAGCCTCTGCCACAGTAAGAACAGGACAGTGAAAATGACCAAGCACAGGAGTGGTACCTGCCTCATCTGCAGACTGTGCTAAGGGCGGCCCTGTGTCTCCTCATTGAAGCCTTTAATGGACTGGCAGGGGAGGGGCTCTAGTTCTCATGTGCAGATAGATGACTGGGTCCTGAGAAGAAGACGGTCTTCTTGGCTTCAGAGCAGTGCCTACCTGGGTAACTGAGCACGCTCTTTTCCTGTTTGGAGACAGATCAAGGCTGACTTTTGATGGGGGTGGGGGAGGTAATGGTAGCTTTTACCAATGGCCTGGAAGAACAGCACCCTCAACCTTAGCCAGGAATATATATGTTCTCATTTCAACAGGGCTGTGAGGTGAGATTTTGTTTCTGATCTAACAAATACAGCTTGCCTGGAGATCAGAGGGCGGAGCTAAGCCACTAGATAACCATAGAGGCCAGGCAGTGGTGGCAGCGGCACAGACCTTTACTCCCAGCACTTGGGAGGAGGAAACAGGAAGATCAGGAGTTCAAGGCCACCCCGGGCTACACAAGATTGATCCAGTCTAAAAGAGGAACAGCCAGGTGGTGGAGGCTCACACCTTTAATCCCACCCAGCACTAGAGAGGTAGAGACAGTAATAAAAGGTGGGAGGGGACAGGAGCTCGGCCTCCTTTTTCGGACCTGAGGATTCTGTAGAGGTAAGAAGTCTCTCTAGATTCTCTGATCTTTCAGCATTTACCCCTATAATATCTGACTCGGGTTTTTATTAAGACCAGTCCGAATTTGCGCTACAGGGCTGGAACCCGAGTATCACAAACCCACAGCTGCTAACCACAAATAAACCAGAAAAGCCTGCTGGGAAGGAAAGTCCGCTATGTACCACCGAGCCATCTTGCTGGTCTGAGTCCATACTCTATTTAGTTATTTTTTGGGGGGGGATAGGGTCTCTCTATTTAGTCCTGGCTGTCTTGGAACTCCCTATGTAAGCCAGGCTAGTCTCAAACTCACAGAGACCCTCCTGCCTCTGCCTCCTGAGCATTGGGATTAAAGGCGTGGGACAGCACACCTCACTCTGAGTCCACACATTGTAACAGCTCCGCTAGCCCTGGAAAGAGTGGCAGAAATAATGACATCATTACAACGATCACCACACTCTGTTCCACTTGCACGCATGAAGAACTGGGACAAAACCCAAGGATTATGCACAAAGTCCTTGGAGGGAAAAGACCCTCTAAGGAGAGCAAGGGCCCCTGGACCAATCTGAGTAACACATCCCCTGGAGGGCTCTCACAGAGAATGTGGTGATGCCAGGCCACACATTCTCTAGAACTATATACCCAAGGCAATGCAAAACATCTGAGTTTTCACAACACCCCAAGAGATCATAGCGGGAGGAAGCGTCAGGAAAGAGGTCCAGAGGAGGAGGACTGAGCATAGGTGCTCAGTCCTCAGTGGCTGCAGCTCCGCCTTGATCTGACTGACTGTCAGGGCACCATCAGTTGGAGAGAGGGTTTGAAATCCAGGCCCGGCTCATAGCTCACTCCAGTGGGTTCACATCACAGGCCATGTGCAGTACAGTCGGACAACCCGGCTTGGTGATGATAAGAAAGGATTGTCAACAACCTCTCAACTCTCGAGGCTCCAGCAAGTTCCAGAAAGGAACCTGAAAAGTGATCCTGTGTCGGTGCCTGCCCTGGGCAGGCCCAGCTAGGCAGGCAGGGGCTAGACAGCTACAATCTGGCACTCAGGCCTAGGTCTGTGGTCAACGGATTTCTGAGTGGCTGACAATGCCATCCCGTCCCCTCGGCACAACGACAATCCACACTTTGTCTTGGGCCTTGTTTGTTCCTTGTGTTGACACGTTGTTCTGCTTCCCAGCAAGTTTGGCTTTCTTCCCCTCCCTTTCCTTTTCTCCAGGAAGGAAGTGTGCTCTTTACAGAGGCAGGGCCTGCCAAGGAACAGCTCTGGCACCCACGGTGGCAGCGAGGAAGGGGCTAGCAGGAGCTGCTGTCTGCTGTCCCCCTTTCCCCACCTCAGGCAGACAAAGGCCAGAAAACACTGCAGACACTGCCATCCACGCTGGGAGGGCCGGTGAGCAGTGGGGCACTCACTCATTTCCTGCTCTGGGTGGGTGGTGAGCAGTTGGCTTTGGTGGCCAGAAGCAGGATCAGATTCCTGCTGTTGACACAGCAGGGAATTACAGTTTGCTTTAAACCTTAACAGGCAGAGGACTGGACAATGAGGTCTTGAGACAACCCAAGCCAAAGTCTCCAAAGGAGGCAGGTACAGCCAGGCCCACCATTGGGAGAAATGCTAGGCATCAGAAAGGGTGCTCCAGGGCTGGGCTTGGGACTCCCAGGTTGCCTTCTACACAGCATCCAAAAGGGTGCATCGGGACAGAAGGAAACACAGGACCTTGGCTGAAGGAATATGAGGAGCCTGTTCCTGGGCTGGGTAGAGTTTAGCAGTGGTTTCCCAGCCTAGCTGGGAATATCAGACCCCACTGGGAACAGCTGTGAGGTGTCTTCTCCCAAGCCAGAGACCTCCCATTGGGCTGCTGGGGAGTGGCTGGGACTAAGGGCGCCACCTGGGTGAGCCGTCGGACACCACACAGCTGAGAAAGCACTGCAGGGCCTAAAAAAAAATAATCTCGTGTTTGGTGATCTGCCCTCTCTGTGACCTCTGGGACTGAAGCTTCCCTCCTTCCCATTGCCCTGGCTAGGGACCGCTGAGGGAACTGACTCAGCTCTGGGCGGGGCTCTGCTCCGAAGACTGGCAGCTCAAGGTCAGCAGGCCAAGGGAGAAGCATGTTACAGCCCCTAGTGAGGGGAGGCGAGGGGCACGAGAGGCCGCTGGCAGGCCTGTTCCGGGGTCTGCAGACCTTCTCATGAAGCTCTGGACTTGGCTTCCAGGCTCTATGATCTTGAGGGTGACATGAAGCAGGACAGATGAGTATGGCCCGAGCCAACTTCTGCCTCTGTAGCAACTCCTAATGTGTCAGTTTCCAACTACACCTGCCTTCTTCTTCAGGCCCTGGGTCCTGACTTCCCAGGCCCGGGTCTCCCTGAGGTGGTAGAAAGTGGGGGACCAGGTGGCAGCCCAGGATGAGGTGGGTATGGAAGCTTGTCTGAGGCCATCCCGCCAGCTCTGAAAAAGGGCTCTGGCTCTCTAGCCTCCCTTTCCCTTTCAGTCCTCCTTTCCCAGCACAGGGAGAATGGATGCCTTGCCTTGCCTTTCCCTAAGAGATAACAGGCCTGGGCTGGCAGCCAGAGCAAGGTGCCAGGGCTGGGAGTGAACGCGTTGAAGGCTGCTGAGGCTGATGCAGGACAGTCTCCCCGCCGCTCCCTCTTCAGCGGTGATTCATAGGGGCAGTTCAAGCAGCAGCCAAAGGACAGAAGTCTAGGCCTCCACATCCCCTGCCCCTGCCCCTCTGCCATCAATACGCCTGGGCACAAAAGGCTCAAGGAGACGCCCCAGACCCTGTGAGTGACAGAAGCCCGTAAAGAGGAGAAGCAGCTCTGTGGATGTTGAGTTCTCCCTCCAAACAGGCCTGGGCCCCTTCTTGGCAAAGTGGGGCTTGATCTGTGACTTTGAGTGGAACCTCAGGTTCCACAGACTCCTGGGGAGACAGCTGGCCCTTGAGAGGCAACCTAGAGGCCCACAAGTCATTACAAGCCCGGTTCCCACAAGCTGGGGAGCTGCCTGTGACCACAGAGGCAAGACCCTAACGAGAAAGTCAGGCTAGCAGTCAGAAGCAGGAAATGCTGACTGCTCTCAGGACGGGAGGAAAGCTGTTGTGGGTGTTGGCTTCACTGCTGAGAACCCGGCTGGCTGGGGCAGGTCAGATGGAGAGTTTCCCAGGGCTCCTTGCAAAGAGCCTGAGAAACCTCTTGGTGATCAAGGGTGCGTGCCTGGAGGGCGGGACCTGAATCAGCCTTCCCAGAGCTCTCCTGAGGGGCGGCCCGTGGTGGACCACACTAATGAGCCCATAACAGTCCTTTGATTAAGCAGCTCCCAGCACAGCGACTTGATTGAAACATGCCGAGGCCAGCAACTCGTTCCCACCGCTCCCAGGTTCCCCGGGCAACAGCCCACAGGAGGGGGACCCAAGTGCTGGGAGGCAGCGGTGCCGAATGCCCAAACTCACTGAGGGGCTGCCAGCATGTGTCTGGGGTGGGAGTTCCAAGAGTGGGGACACCAGCAGCCAGGGGATTAAGAACTTGGGAACTGGGTGGGGTGCAGGAGGCTTCCTTCCAGAAGACTGAGGGGCTGCCAGACATCTGCTGAGTCTTCTGGGGGCCCAGGTTCCTGAGCAGGCTGAAAACTAGAGATGCTGACCACCCCAGCCCTTGGGCCGGGAAGATGTTCTCCAAAGGATGACAGAATACAAGGGCAGACACTCTTCTTTAGTCTAGGGAGACCCCAGTTCCTAATTCCCTCCAAATGTGCTTCAACTGCAGACACACACTCACGAACTACCAGGACACTTCTGCTAAGACCTGCTGGCATTAAATCATTCACTGGAATGATGATCTGGGAACTCTCTGTGGCTGGAGTGACCTTCGGGGGTCCCCATCTCCCACCTCCATACTAGTTCTGTCCAGGGGAAGAGACCTGTGACTCTGGTTGTCAGTAGAGACAGGGGTGGCAGTCTGGGACATGGCTAGGACTGGGAGTGGGGGTACCAGAAGCTGTTTCTTCTTGTGCTGGGCTCATTTCAAATGTTACACTTTGAGCTTTTGCTACAGTAACTACCAACACCGCACAGACAGAAATCTAATGTTACCAAGTGGGACTTTTAAAATGTATTTATAACTTTATGGTTCAAAGTAATTTTGTTATGAAACAATGTAATAACAACAGTGGAAAAAGGCAAGATAATTTATGGGACACAATATCCCTAAAGCACTAGCTTCCATTTCTACCTCTGGGCTTAGCGGGAGAAGAGCAGTTGGTATCCTTTGTTTGCTGTTTGTTTTAATTAAGGGTTAGGACTTTGGTGGGGAGTAGGGGGAGGGCATCAGCTGCGAGCAGACACATGCGGGCGGAGGAAAACATACCGTACTAAGAGGAGTGCGGCCCCCAGACCGGGCTACCCACAAAGCTGGTGTGGTTCCTTCCTTTTTACTCTGACTCCCGTGGTTTCTCTAACTCACCACAAACAAAGCGTGGGTACCTTTTGGATGGAGGGCAGATCCTCTTTCTGAAGCCCCAATTCCCTTTCTTTCTTTTTTTCTTTTTCAGACAGGGTCTCACTTTGTAGCCCTAGCTGGCCAGGAACTCTATGTAGGGCAGGATAGCTTCAAACTCATAGAGATCCTCCTGCCTCTGCCTCCCAAGTGCTGGGATTAAAGCTGTGTGTCAACACACCTGGCCCTGATTCCTTTTCTTGATATTCTTGTGAAAGGTAAGTAAATTGCTTTCCCCCTACCCCAAAACACAGTCAAAAGCCAAAAAAGAAGCATGGTAGACCGGGCAAGTGACCTTTGGAGACCTGGGCAGGGTGGTCACTGGGAAGAGCTAATGGCTCTTAGCCCCAAGCACTGTGACATCAGCTCTGACCCTCACTCCACACAGGGAGCACACTAACAGAATGCTCTGGACAGTCGCCAGGTTCTGCTCAACGGTTTCCATCAGGACAAAAGGGAGCAGCTGATGTGGGGTAGCCACTGTGGCCTGCCCAGCCTGGCCACAGAGTTCACTTCCTGTGAATTCTGGTGAGAATTCCGTCTAGTCACTGGAGGCTATCCCCACGTTGCTTCACCCTCCATGTCCTGTATCTTGATTTCCTGGGGTATGGGAAGTTTTCTATTCCTCACACCTGGATGTCCACTGTCGTTAGTGGTTCCGGCAGTGGCCAGGAGAGCACCTCGTTTCGGGGAACGGGAAGGAGTTCGGTCAAGAGGTGCCCCTGGAGCTGTGAGGACAGCAGCAGCACCCATTCTCCATAACCACACCCAGAGCTCAGGCTCTGAATCCCAGGGCAGCTCCCAGCTCAGGATGGGTGCCCTAGGGCACTGCCCTGGGAGGGAGGGCTGGCAGCGAGGGAAGAGCGGACAGAAAAAGGAAGGAGAAAAGGATGCTTCTCACCTGTAACCAGGGTCCATGAGCTGCGTAAGGGTGCTCCTCAGTGGCAAAGGCGCCTTCCACTCCCGTGGACACAAAGGTGATGGCCATGTCACCTGTGATACTCTTGTAGGTGAAGTGCCGGCCATGTAGGAGTCTGCCCCTGGGGATGGGAACATGGACACAGTGGGGATCTGGGCCTAGAAACACAATTCCGAGCCAAGGTGCTAGGGCTACAGAGCGACGTTCCCTGAGGCAGAGTGCCTGGCCGGTGCCCTCCTGAGGGCCCAGCTGCCCTCTAACGGGACTTTTAACCAAACATGTTCACTGTAGCACATTAGTGACAGGCACCACCAGCTCTCTGAAGGCATCCTTCCAAGTGTGCCTAGCCAGTGGACACTCTAGATCAGAGCTCAACGGGCCTCAGGGCAGGTGAGAACACTGAGGCCAAAGAGAGAAGTTAAGAGGGTGCCAACATCATGTGCGGAGTGAAGAAGGACTCCTGCCTCCCAGTAGGGAACTTCTGTGCCCACGCAGGACCTTCCATTTGTTCCTGGGCTTTCCTGTAACACGTAAGCAGGTATCCTAGAGGCTCTGAGACAGTCTTTAAAGACACAAAAACAGCCGGGCGGTGGTGGCGCACGCCTTTAATCCCAGCACTCGGGAGGCAGAGCCAGGCGGATCTCTGTGAGTTCGAGGCCAGCCTGGTCTCCAAAGCGAGTTCCAGGAAAGGCGCAAAGCTACACAGAGAAACCCTGTCTCGAAAAACCAAAAAAAAAAAAAAAAAAAAAAAAATAAAGACACAAAAACAAAAGTCTGAAGCCAAGCAGGGTCACTGCACGAAGTCGCCATAATCCCCAGTCTGGAAATATACTTGGAGGAAGGGCAGGCCGTGGCACCCAATGGGCAGGGATGCCAAGTGGTGAAGGAGGCAAAACCGGTTCATTGCATCTCGGCTGCTTCAGATTAACCCTTCCCCAGGCTAAACGGCCAAGCTGTGCCCAAGCAGCTGCTAGGAGGATACAGCGGAGTCTGGCGCTGGCCCTGGGAGGTTCCCCTCACTCAGACCACTCGATACCTCTGCCCTGCTGCTCAGGGCAGTTGGCTAAGGCTGGCTCAAATTGTAACTCCTCCCCCACTTCTCCTGGCTCTTGGAACCATGGGCAGGGTTCAAACCATGCAATTCCTTCCTCCTTGTCATTGTCCCCTCCAGTTTATGGGGATTCTTGCTGCCTCCTGTGCTAGCAAGTGAGGATGGAACTCAAAAGGGTTTGGAGGAAGCCAGCCGCAAGAGATCCAGCCTAGTGCAGTGTTCTGAACAGCTGCATTCTGGCTCTCACAGCAGAAGAGACACAGCTGGGCTCTCAGTCACTCAATGAGGCTGCTGGGCTGGTCACTGGGCTTTCTAAAGAACTGAGTGGCTTGCATAGGAAAAGCATCAAGCAAAAGGAGGAAGAGCCCAACCTGTCAGAACCCTCCCACTCCTGTGACCTGTTTATGGGATGGCAGGGGCCATCCTAGACTCTCTTGGTTACTCGACTTCTCAAATGGGGGGCACAGCTGAAGGACATTTCTGGACAAAAGAGTGTTCTCAGCATCTACTCCCCATGGAGTCTGACTCTGAAACTTCTCAGAGAACCAGAGAATAAGAAAGCCAGGTGTGGGGCACAAACCTTCTACCCCAGCTCTCAGAGGCAGAGGATCTCTGTGAGTTCAAGGCCAGCCTGTGTCGGGGGAAGGCAGACTGTGGAGGCTCTGAGGCCTGCAGGGTACTGTGGAATGGACTGTTTCAGCTCACCTTAGGCAGAGAGGAATGAGGGCCCCCGACTCCTGGTTAAATTTCAGATGTACACTCTCAAGTTGCCGAGTGCGGATCAGCTCGTGGGGGACAATGGCCGTGGAGCTGTCACTTTCCAAGCTGTCTTTGCGGCTCCTGTCGAACAAGCACGGGGAGAGCAAATGGGACTTCCTGGCCGAGTTCCTGGTTAGCAACTACGGTGCCTGTTAACTAGGGTAACAGCACCCTTCACCATGCACTAGCCAAGGGTCAGCGTGCGTCAAGCACTTCTCACTGGCTGCCTATGCCTCCCGGCAGCCCATAAGGTGGGCACACTGGGGCTGAAGTGGCTAAGTTACATGTGCAGGTAGCACAGCCCATAAAGATGGGGAGCTGGCATTTGGTCGGAAGTCGGCCAGGTTCTAGAGCCCACATCCTTGGCCAACACACACCACAGTGGCTTGTTTGTCCCGTGAAATCAACAGGCGCTCTAAGGAGCCTTTTCCCCCTGCCTTCAAGCCCTGGAGTCTGACACGGGACAACAGTTCAAGGAGCTTCTGCTAGCTGACCTTTGGGTTCTGAGCAAGCACACTCCTTCATAAGGCCAGGCAAGGCAGCGGTGTCTTCTTCTAAGCAGGGTAGCACAATCCTCGCGGAGGGGTGAATGCTGGGCCCTTAGGAGTCAGATGCATGTGGCTGGGTGACACTTAGCTGAGCTTCATTGGTGTGTTGTGTGTGTGTGCGCGTGCGTGTGTGCGGACATGCATGGATGTGTGTGTGTACCTGTACATGTGTATGGTGTGGTGTGTGTGTGGTTCAGTGTGTGCTGTGTGCATGTGTGGAAGCCCAGAACTAGATCCCTCGACAGTGACCTTGGTCACACTAAGCTGTCACTGTTGCTCATGCTCCCTCCAGCTCAGCTCCCCACCAACAGCTTGTCCCACAGCTGGGCTACTGGGTCCCTTGTCATTCTAAGTTTTGCTTTTCTTTCCTTTTTTTCCTATTTTTTCCCCCGAGACAGGGTTTCTTTGTGTAGTTTTGGTGCCTGTCCTGGATCTCACTCTGTAGACCAGGCTGGCCTCGAACTCACAGAGCTCCGCCTGTGAGTGCGCCTCCACTACCTGGCAAGTTTTGCTTTTCAAATTCAGCCATCCTCACTGACCTCCCAAATCTTCCTCAGCAGGAAAAGAGGGTCATCCACTGATACCATTCAAAAGGCGGGGCTCTGGTTTGGGCTGTGAAACCCAGAACAAGTCTTCAAGTATCCATCAAAACACTAGGTGAGGATCATTCATTTTTTGTTTGTTTTTAAATCATTTAAGCACCAGGCAGGAGCTACTCAAGATATCTGAGGTGGACAGCCACCCAGGAGCAGGCCTCATCCTGCTAACAGAGGGTGAGCGCAGGGGCCCACCTGAGTGGCCAGGCCTTGGCTCAGCACTCTCTTCTCCCCAGGTAGATCCACCCCTAGCTGTGACCACTCTGTCACACTGTTAAGTGCAATGCCTCCTGCAACTTCCCAAACTACCTTGGGAACTGTCTTTCCCTTGGCAAGCACTTCACAAGACCTGTGAAGGAGACAAACGGGCAAGAAGACCATGGTATTTCAAGACTGGAAAGAAACTCAACCTGCTTTCTCCACCTCTTTCCTTTTCAAAGAGGGGACATATCCAAGGCCAGACAAAGACCATGTCAGTGGAGGCCAGCTTGTGAATCCTGGACTTCTGACCACCTTCTATGCCGGCCTTCCAAGGAGGGCAACCCCACATCTCATCCAGGCACTACTGATAGGTTCAAAGGTGATATGGGGGTGCTCCTGGAGCCCAAACAAGAGCAGAGGACTGGAAATGACAGCGGCCAGGTTTGTCAAGGGCTTCCTCTGTGCCAGGCTCTGTTACATGCACAGGCTCACTCAGTGGGTCCTCACAGCAAGCATGGAAACTCTCTTAGCCCTTTACAAATGAAGTGAGCAGAGACAACTGCAAGGTCACAGTGGGGGTTTTATCTGGGGTGCTGGGGTTGAAACTCAGAGGTTCATGCATGCTAGGCAAATGCTTTACCACCGAGCCCCAGCCTGAGCCCCGCTGAGTGACTAAGTGGCAGAGCCAGGACGTGACCCTTATACTCACTCCCATGTGCATCTGAGGCCTGGGCTGCAGGGGGTGGGACCTTCTGGAGGATCCCAGCCTCAGTGGGCCAGGCAAAAATGCTGATGAATAGCCATGGGAGGTGGGGTGGGGGCTGGTAGAGAAGAATCACATAGTACACAGGGCTAGAGAGTCTCAAGCTGGAGGGAAAAATAAATTGTTGAAAGTCAGCTAAAGTCACCTTGGTAACTGCCACAACACACTCACCCAGAACGGGGACATCAAACCCAACTGCAAACAGCTTTAAAGAAGAAGCGGCAAAGAACTTAATCATCTGAAGAATTAATGTGACAAGTGCCCACATTTACACCTCCCACCAACCTTCAATCATTTGAGAAAACATACTTTAATCTTTTAAGAAAAAAAAAATCTCAAAATGCTAGATCTGCATTCCTGGAGCCTGGGTATTTCCGGCATACTGCTTCAATGGGAAGGCTTCACACGCGCAGGAGCCCAGCTTTTTGCTGATTTGTTTTTTCTGGACATCGATGCAGAAGCATGAATTATTTGTGTGGGCTGGGTGAGGTATTAAATCTGCAGCCGACACAGGTTTGCAATGTTTTGCATGGTTGTCAGCTTAATCTTAGTCATAAAGAAATAAGCAGTGTGCTCGGCAGCAATGGCCTGATTTTTCAGCTGGGCTTTCTCCCCGAGCTCTCCATAGAGGATAAGGCAGAGTTTTTGGGGGTGGGGGCTGGGAAGGAGAGGGACTTCCTGGGAGGCATGACCTACAGCCACTGGCGAGGCCTAAGGGACATGGGACCAGGAGCATACTCTAGGAGGCAGAGTATCACACATCACGGGTTCACGTCCTAGGTGACCTTGGCAAGTAACAACCTTTGTCTTTCCTTTTTTTGAGACCAGGTCTCGCCATGTAGCCCAGGCTGGTCTTTAATTTTATTACGTTTATTTGGTGTGTGTGTGTGTGTGTGTGTGTGTGTATGTGTGTGTGTGTGTGTGCACAGATATGCCAGTGTGCACAGAATTGGAGGACAACCTGCAGGGGCTGGCTCTCCTTTTCTACCACGGGGAGCCTAGGGATCAAACTCAGGTCCATCAGCCTTTGTGGGTCTGACTTTATCTGTTGAGGCATCAGCTCTCCACCTCTCCAACTCCCAGGCTGGTCCTGAACACACTGCTCTCCTCTTGACTCAACATCTGGAGTGCTGGGATTCCACATGTGTAGCGCCATGTGCTTTCTTTCCCTAAGCTTCGATCCCTCCTAGATGGAAATAAGCAACAGCAGGGTCACGATCATATTTAAATGAGATGCGTCTGATGAGGCGTCTAACGCGGGTGCATAGGGTGCTGCAGGTGCTGCAGCTCCTCCTGCAAGAATGGTGATGGCAATAGAAACTGGTTTGCCGTTATCCTGGGTCCAGAGTCCAATAGCCTCTGGCCAGATCAGTTCGTCTGCTGAGCAAAGGTCTTGGAAGGGGGTATCTAAGACTGGCTTGAAAGGGAGACCGGGAGTAAATGCTTCATCCTGGTCAACCAGTGGTGCTCTGGGAAGGCCGGATTAAAGGCAAAGGAAATCCCTCAAGGCTTTTGCTCCACTGAGGAAGATGGTGGCCAAGCCATCTTGCAATCTGCCTTTGCAATTCTCAAACCACCAGCCTTTAAGCAGCCCGGCACTTTAATCCATCTTTCCCTGGTAGCCTTTTGCACCCCGGAGGCTGCTCTTGAATCCTATCAACAGCCTCTTTTTCTTGGATACGTGGCCCTAACTTTCAACTACATTCTTGACAAGGTTCTGAAATCCTCCATCCCTTCAAGCCACCCTCCCTTGGATTCATTTGAGCTCGTCAAAGCTAGAGTGTCACATCTGGCAGTGAAGCGGCATGTGGACATAAGTATAGTATGTGGCCTAACCAGTGCAGAGCTCAGAGGCTCTGGGACCACTCTTGTCTGCAGCAGCTTATTTCTATTAAAACTGTCATCAAATTGTCTTCCTCTGTAACCTCATCATACTGCCAACTCACACAGCACTCCCTCTGTCAACGAAGTCTTACTCAGGTTTTCTTCGACAGGCTACCCTCTCCTCTCCTGTCCAGTGTGTGCTGTGGATTATCGGAAGCTAAGAGCAGAACTCTACAGTATCTGGCTAGGGTTTCAGGCAGTGTGGATGAATCTGAACTCTGGCGTCCGTCATCTCCACATCCCTTCCTGACTTCACATCACTGACATGACCGGTCGACTTGCTATCGACATTCTCAATCCAGCTGATTAAACTGAAAACAGACCTGGGCTGGGCAGATAGATTGGTAACACTGCTTTTTGGGTATATTCATCCAACCGATTAAAAATAAATCCACCTTTCCTATCACCATCCTGTATGCTCTCTGGACATTTCTGTCTTGGCCTGTAATGATGTCAGAGTATATTCAAGATGTCTGGCTCAATGCTGCCTAGGCCAGGCCACAGCACATCTTTTGTCTTACAGACAGGTGAGCACTACGCCTGACTTGAGTCTCTCGGGGTTGTTTCCGATAGCACTCAAAGCTCCTTGCTGAACAATCCAGTCCAGACTTTTCCTGAGAGTGATAACAAGCATTACTGGTCCAGAAAGTGCAAGATGCTCTCAGCATCCTCAACTTGTACACACTGCCAGTCTGCTGGCACCTATCTCCTCCATTCCCCAGATGAACATGACTCTCATCTGCCAATTCTTCGCACAATATATGTGGCCTACAAGTTGTGAAAGCAGCCGGGCGGTGGTGGGACACACCTTTAATCCCAGCACTCGGGAGGCAGAGGCAGGCGGATCTCTGTGAGTTCGAGGCCAGCCTGGTCTACAGAGTGAGATCCAGGACAGGCACCAAAACTACACAGAGAAACCCTGCCTCGAAAAACCAAAAACAAACAAACGTGTGAAAGCATGGCTTCTGTGCTCGTGGCTCGTTGATGGTTGATAATCATTTGTTTGGAGATGGAAACAGAACACAACTCCAGTGCATTCTGCTTCCTTTGTAGCTGCTCAGTGTTACTCTGTCTAAACAACAAAGCCTA